GTTCTTGTTGTCAGTTTCTTTCCAGATTGTCTGAGTGGATGTCTGGAGGTGTAGGCGCCTGGGAATGATTGTGTTAAGCTAACCCTGAGTCCCTCCCCCATCCACCTTTATTCTTATCTTCACAATAAGGCTTTCAAATAAGTCATAGTTTTCATGGCAGTGAAGCATCGGTGTTGAACACTGATGTCATGCTGTCGATGATGATGATGATGATGACTTCCTCGAAGGGCTCTTTTCGCACATCCACGTGAAGGGTGCAAGAGAGCCAGAGGCGGTCAAACAATGACTTGGCAGCGAAGTATGAAAGCCGTTACCAGCAAACTCAGCTGCGCTGGTCACTGCCGTCTTCCTGGATGGGGACCCCGAGACGGGCCACATCAATGGCTAGAGACGTTGTCAGATATGGTCCAGTCGCGTCCTGAATTGCGCTCGTGCATCCAAGCTATTGCCTTCAATGCATATCTCCTTTCCCAACCCCCCTCCAGTTGACAGCCCACTGACAGTGCTGGATTTATGCACCAATTTATCAGCTCCTGCCTGCAACGCGCAGCTACCTCCCCTCCCCTCAAACCATTGGTGAACGAAACTACGGCAGCTACAACCACTGTGCGACGATTACGCGGTTATTACAGCTGACAATGATGGTGATGACCTTGTAACACTAGATCTACTTTTTCCGCTTGATAAGATTACTTTATCTTTCAGAATGTCTATCTGATATATGGTCTACAATCCATCCCGTTTTTGAAATTGTCATGACTTCGTCGCGTTCGGCTGAGGACAAAATAACGATTGCCACTTCTAAGATAAACAAAGCACTCGGAACATATTTTGAGTAAGATCGTGACGACCTCATTTGAAGTTTGTGTTTCTGTGCAGGAAAACAGTGAATAACACTTGTTCGAAGATCAAACAAAAAGATGAAGAATGGTTCCAGCAAACTGTGACGGAACTTGTTCAAGAATTTCAACAAAGGTGTGAAGAAGGATTACCATCCTTGTTGAAGAAATACAGTGTCAACGACAAAGCTTCCCAGTTAGAGTACGCCAATCAGAACTTGCGGTTCTCTCGCTCCTGGTATGTAGCTGCCCACTTGGTTCTGATGTGCTTTCAGGTGTCCCTCTGGTGATCCAGAGAAGGATATACGTGCACACCTTTACGTAGTTGAGAAAGAACACTTGGATGATCTGTGCAAACGAACCTCGGATCTACAACGGGAAATCCGTCCGCGGTTAGCTGAACTGAAAAGAGAAGACTATAGACTTCGAGACGAATCAACCAAACTTCAAGTCCTTTTGAAGCAGCTATGCACAGTAAGTGTTCTATGAACTGCCCTTGTTTTTGTCAGCATCTCATGGTTGCAAATGTTACAACCATGGCATGCCCATGTTTTGTCAGCTGGCTGTTCATTATTCCATCCCTATACTAGTTCCACACGCGCTCCTTTTTCTCGTAGCTTTGTGAATGGACAGCAGCTTCAGTGCGACACATTTAATTGCTTAAAAGCGTTATAACCGAGATATTCAGCTCGGTTTCAGGTGAGTCTTATCAAAACCAAGTTGGTATGTAAATGAGTGTATTTTGCTGGTACTTAGTTCCGTTGATGAACCTGCATGCGGGTTTAGACAATTTTCGCGGAATCAAAACGTTCCAGATACGTATTTCAATTGCAGTGTGAACCGCATAAGTAACGGATAAACAAAAGCAAAGTCAATCCCCGAAATTCAACTTTCCGACGGCGAGAACGTATGATAGTTATTTGGCTTCTGTGAATGAAACGTAACTGTATGAGGCACCGTACCCAAGCCTTTCGGGATACAAAAAACTGCGCTGTTTTAATAATCCAAAGCCCGAGAAAAGTGAGTGAGAACTGTTTTATGTAGGTTGTGGAAATGGTTTTCCAACGCCTAGTTCACGAGTATTGATAGAACAGTTGGGACTTCCAACCATTTCGGCCTGCACACTCGTATCGCTCATCCGCAAAGGACACCCGGTCAGTCGAATTAAGGAATATCTTCGCTGGGGATGTGTTTTTCCTCCTACTTAACGGTTCCGCGTGGGCACATAAGGATCTAAGTGCATTCCCAGTACTTGTTCTTTTGTTGTCACCGTCTTTACGTTCAAGTCAACTATTGTACTGAAGTATTGTGATCTCTTAGTCAATTTGGACAATACGGTAAGAACAGTAAGGTTGTGAGATGAATTCATGTCCTAAGCTTCTTCCGCCTCGAGGTACATCACTTGTATATGTATATACATCATTTTTTATACCTTCTGCATGCTCCGTTTATTAGGCTAAATGAATAATAATTATAATCACAACCATAATCGTGATAATCATAATTATAGCTGTGACATCCTTTTGGTGCCTAGCTGCCATGCCACCCGAAGGAAACACGAGAGCTGGGATACTGCCAGGTTGCCCAAGCCTAGATAGGCGAAGTCGAGATGCAGAGGTCGGGTTTGAACCACGGACCTTCCTGTCAGTAAATTCACGTTCTAACCACTGAACAATCTCGCCCTCGTCTATTAGTCCAAAGTAACATAACCAGACAATAAAACGGAGATCCCTTCAATTAACAACCAGGCCGTTCTTAGTGCAGAGAACTTACCAAAATCAATTAATCAATATTTTCTCAAGGAACTTCGGTTAATCTACCCATTTGCCTCATACTGTAACTTGAAACGACAAGTAGGGTGTAGTTTTGTTTCCCTTGTCAGCTTAATTAGTGATGATCCTGGATCTGATTCCATATTCAACCAGCTCTCATTTCAAGCATTTTTGCTGGTACTTACATTCAAAAGGCTTACAACCTGAGCAGAAGAGCATATTCCTGAGGCGCCATAAACTTGCAATGGGCTCTCACTCAGCTTATTGATTAGAGCGCGAATTTACTGACCGAAAGGTCCGTAGTTCGAATCCGACCTCTGCATCTCTACTTCCCTCGTCTAGGCTTCGGCAACCTGGTAGTATCTCGGCCCTCGTGCTTTCTTACGGTGGCATGGCAGTTAGACGCCGAAGGTGTGCCACAGTTGAACGCTTATTTTTATTATTTATCCAGCTAATTCAAGACGCGCAGCCGAACTTCCCTCGCTGTTTCAATTCTCAGAACGAAGTTTAAACTGAAGTTACTTCGGCAGTATTGCGCTTAGAAATAATTAATGGTCACTCTTAATGAGCCTTGGTTTTATTAATTGACTTGTTGTTGTAGACTTATATAAATAAAGTTCGCAGTAATGTGTTTCATATCGCTGCTGGGGCGCATTATGGTACTTTGTGCTTGGACTAAGAGTATCCGTCACTGTATGGTAAACACATTTTCAGGATGTTCCTCTATGTGTTTTCCGGGGTTTACTATGTCGATCAGCCACAATGTGGTGACAACTGTAAGTAATTACCCACTTCTGCTCCTCCTTGATTATAGTTGGTTTTATCCAGTTAGCGGATTTATCCAGTCAACGGAGGCACCCCGCAAATGTGTCATAATACGCCTCCATAGTGAATTTTGTAGCCTTTGACCCATTGCAGGAATTTAGGAGCTCCTTTGCAAGTTTGGTGAGATCAGTTGGCTGCAACCTCCATTTTGGAGTGGATTATTTTGGGTATGATCCAGTCGATTACGGGCTTTACTGTACAGTATTTCTCTAAACAAGGAAACATTCGTTGAGCTGATAGCCTTGATAGTTAAAATTTTCCCTATAACCCTTGCTCAAGGGGACAAATCCTTATAGCCGAAAAAGAAACTTTTTCGGATCATAGGCCTCCCTGAAGGAAACTGTCGTGATTAAGATACCTTGTCACATATTCAAAAGTTGATTCGGACATTAAGCACTGCAAGCAAAGTGACCCGTCAAACCTCTGGTTTTCATTGACCGGAATTGACTTGGCTCGGTCACTATCCGTTCGTCAGTAAAACTAGAAACTGGAACCACAGTGACTTGCACACAACATAGGGCTGATGATGGCGATAGTCAGATGAACACTATACACGTGTAAACGGATCTTCGTATCAGTCCACTGCTATCGCGTAATCACTATGTGCTCTCTTTTCGTCTCCGAGAACTTCATGCACGTGTTCAAAGTGGACTAACATCTGCCGTTTATTAGGTACTCTTAGTTTGCATTTCCTAGAACTTCACCCGTGCAAACGGAGACAAGGAGATTTATTTGAATGTCTGCAAAACATTGAATTACTTCATTGCTTAATGAGTGGCACTAAAGAGTATTTTATCGGTAGTTTCAATCCAGATGATCGCATGCTGAGAAGCCTAATCGAGCGCGGAGTGTAATCCTTTTTGCGTAGGGTCCATGTGAGGTAGGGACTCCAGTAATTATTAGAAACACCACGTATACGGGGGCTTTTGCGCAATCATCGTAGTTTCTTAATATGATGAGGTTGGGTTAACTAAAGGGTCCAGAATGGCGAAAATGCCTTGTCTGACCAACCTTAGCTGAATTCGTAATAAGTTTTGTTGTTGCTGGCATACTTTCGTATAAAGTGTCTGGTGGCACAAAATCGGGGTCAAACATGACACAAGAACGTGGTTCACATTGTGGATGTTCAAGACGTTTCGAAAAACAATCTCTGACGGGCAGGGGTTACTTCGCTATGTATTCGTTTCCTTGTGTGAAGTATTAGTTGATGTCGGGTTTCCACATGTATTCACGAAGCCCTAAGTAGAGCGATCGTTCACCGCTTAGACCATCTTTGGGCGATCCGGTGTAGTATATATATATATATATATATATATATATATATGGAAGAGCCCAACTTCAATTTTTTTTAACGACCAACCGCTCATCCGTAGTTTGCTTCCCGATTTTTTCAGAGACCTTTGAAACTGGGTCAGCAGCTCACAACTGACCACCTTGTTTCGTTTTTGTTTCAGACCCTCGCGACTGTCCAGTCTGCTGAGAACCACCTTTGCGTCCATCGTCCCAGTTGAGAAGAAAATTCGGAAGAACACCGTTCTTATACTTTTCTTTGTTTATATGTATTGTCCTTGTGTGTGGCCATGAAAACAAAAAAATGTGACACCAAAGTAATACTGGTGTCCGATCACCTGTTCTTCTTGTTTGTACTGTCTGATGTCTATCCGTTTTATTGTTGATTCGCTTCCTAATTGATGACCTTCTTGAGACTGTAAATATCCAAGAGGAATAGAGAAAAACGTTATCATATGTTCATCTCGGTACCTCCTTCCCTCTTATCCATACAACTTACCATTCCCTCATCGATGATTGTATTCTTTGATAGGCTGAAACACAGAAATAACATTTTCTTTCAGTGTCTGCCTCCACTCTTACAAGATAGTGCGAAGTTTGTTAAATAAAATCCTTCAATGAAGTAAGTGGTTATTTTTTACTACTTGTTGTCTGTGCTGGAAGTTTTTGCGCATTGACCTCAAAACGACGATAATGTAGCTACTCTCACAGCACCAGATGGTAATTCTTAACCTCTGGCCTCCCTCACATCATCAACGACAGCATGACCTCAGTTTTCAACACTGATGCTTCGCTGCCGTAGGCCTATAAGGGGAGAACTATTAATAGGGTGAGGAGAGGAAGAAGAAGAATGTGAAAGCGAAAGAAGGACGGCGTCAGCAGTAGCCTGTTTACGCTTACCCACCCTGGTGCATGCAGCAAGTAGGGCGACCCGGTTGATGGCATCATGTGACGGCCGGTGTGGCATGAGTTTATTTGTATGTGTGCAGTTCATGGTTGTACGTTTGTTGGGATACTGTCAGAACGCCCACACCTAACCAGGAGGACGATTAGGGTCCTCAGCGAAAGCGTTTGGCTCAAAAGCCTAACCGCAAGGCGGCGGCGTTTGGTTGGAATTGCAAACGTCTTACGATTTCTACGAAAGAAGTCATCATCACCATTACCATCGCGATCATCATCATCACCCTCATCATTATCATCATCATCATCATTGGCCAACCTGGAAAAGGTCCAGTCTCTTCGTGAAGGACAACACCCCCAATTTAGCTCAACGGGTCGATGAGGTGTGCAAACCGTCACACCACGGTAAGGTCCAGTCTCTTCGTGAAGGACACGTGTATTGAATGCGTTCGAAACAAGGATTCTATCAGATAATCATGGATAATAGATAAGTGGATGAATGGAAAGGAAATTCTTTGCACCACATTCGGAGTACATTTGAATACATCATCTAAAGTCTTCGTCCATAAGCGCTTGGCATCCCTAAGCCCCCTCCCAAAACGGAGGTCGAGACTGACCTACACCCGCCACTATATTGATCATAATTTGCCAAGTTGAGCACCTCGTCTAGCGAATCTCGTCAAAAGTGATTTGTGGGACATTTGATGGTCGAATATAAGTGGACCATGCACTAGTCAGGTAAATCGTTAGTTTTGGATCTCAGTCGGACACTAGGTGATTTTTAAAGCCGTGCATCGCCTTAGCTTTTAATCCATGGATAAGGCGTCTTACTTGAAACATCGCAACTTCATGCCAAGTCTGAATAAAAAATCATAGCCCTGTGACGAGTGTGGTTCCCCAATAGGGTCTTAACGTGTCCAGATGTAACCAGCTTCGCAGTGGTGGCGAACCAAAAACGGTACGAAGTACATTTGGCGTGAACCGCAAAGACAACACAAAGGGACCTTCGAAAGGTGGGTTGTTTTCAGATGAACTTAACCGGTAGAACAACCTTCAAGGTACCGGACTAATGCGTTCTCCCATGCCAGGTTACCCCTCCACTGACTTGAATCGTTATCGGCACCAAGAATTCGAAGCGGAAGTTATTTGCAGAGTTCTGCATCACAAGATCAACTCTCGTTTCATCCTAAGGTGGAAGGGTACCCACACTGTCATAAGGGCTTTTGAAAAGTCGCCGGCTTCATCGTTCAGGCGAAAACCCGCGTCACACTTTGTAACGCGTAGACGAGTCCCAGAATCAACTTATTAGATGAATCTTATTCATTGTATTTGTGGAAAATCGAGGGCTCGCCTCCCCTTTCCTGGAGTCCTTTGATGCCTTGCACAGCTTGTGACCACCGCACAACACCCAATAATAGCCATCCTGCCGAATCTCGTACGACTGACTCGATGTCCCACTTAATCTACAAATCCATAGTATTCCTTGCATTTCAAGCTATCGACAGATGAACACCACCAATCCAGTCCAGTCCCACCCCTTACGGCACGTCTGCATTCATTTTTGGATATTACTATCCTCAACTTACCCCGTTCTTGTATTGCTTTATTGATGCAATTCACCAGTTCCATTCTCGTCAAATGGGCGGCAATGGATAAGTCCTGTTTATGGAAGCCTTTACGAGCAAGTTGAGCATAGCGACAGTGTACGCCCTGAGTCTCGCTTTGAAACATGTCACTCGGACCTCTTTCTATCTTCTGTGGAATGTCCAGTACTTTCCATTGGCTGAGGGGGATCTTAGATGGTCTTGACGATAGACGGACGAAGTCAAGTTGTCTGCATACCGGTGGTTGTGCAGGGTGAGATAAGAACAAAGCAACAAAGCATGGTGTAATATTAGACAGGGGATCTTTCCAGCATAGTAATATATTCATTCAGACTTGGAAACCATCTGAACACAACTACCAGTAATTTCGTACAACACTTGTCCTCAACTGCGGCTGTCAGCCAGGTCACCATGGCAGCAAACAGTACGGCTGACAAGCGAAAAAAGTCCACTGTTGGCATTTACGATCCTTCTCCATTGGAATCCGTCTTCCTTTATACTCCGTCAGCTGATCACTGTCACGTAGATCCCCGAGAAGGCTATTTTAGTTGTGCACTCAAGTTCAGACCTTCCCTTTATTTCGATCGCAGCTTCAGCGTACCGGCCAGCAACTCACCACAGCATCACTCTTGATACACGACGGTTAAACCTTTACTGCGTGTCAAAATATGCAGTGCCCGGTCCAAGTACCTTACTTAATCCTATGACACCATTTTCTAGACGCTGAGGTAAACGGACGTCACGCAGTTCTGTAACCGCTACAATGGTCTGTATGTCTTAGTTCCACTGCCGGTCTTCACCAGAATGAATCCCCGTGAAGAACCGTCTTCGTGATTTTGGTTTTAACAACTTTCACACTAGTATGTACTTCCCGACTCAGTGGAGAGGGACTTGTTGGCTTGTTCAATCTGTACCCAAGATGAAATGATGGTGCAATATGCAATGTAATGGTGATAATCGTTTGTAGCTTTGTACGGACGTTCAACTGTACATCAGTAGTACCGAGTTTAGACATTTAGACGCTCTGGTCCGCTGTACTGGTGAGCAGCACTGCAAAAAGACTAGTTATGGGCCGCGAGTGTAGACAAGCTTATTTGGATGAATGTCCCAAGGCGTGTATCCATTTGAACCTTGTTGATCCTGTTGTTTGACTTTTTAAATTCAGTACTGCAGGGCATGAAAAATCTGGTCACTTCTCTGAAGGCAGCCCAAGTGGACTCAATCAGGTTTCAGTTTTTCAGTTACAAACGATGTGTCTGATTACATTGGTTCTAGGTGCTACCGCTTTGTTCGCCAATGATAAGGATAATAAGGGGAAGACAGCTACGCGTCGGAGGCGATGGCCAAACCAAAGTCAAATGCATCCTTATGGTCATTCTGTTTCCGCCTAATTCGACCTATTGGTTCCACGTTGGAAGTGGCGTTTGTCATCGATCGATTCAACTCACGAAATCCAATCAAAGATCCCTTTTTAATATGACTATTTTGAACTGTTAATTGGTCGGAGTTCACCTCGTGAGTTTCATCATTTAGGCAAAGTCAGTCGCTTCTCCAATGCCTACAAACTTTGCACAACTGTTTCATCCTTGTTGAGAATCATCATCGGTATGTCACGTTCCTTCCAAAAGATCCTGGTCGGTCGTTCTCTGGAGGTGAGTTTCACCATTCGTTTAGAACAGCCGATCAAAAGCTATGAATAAAATGCACCTTGGCCATAGAGCTACTCTACCAGTCGTGTCGCGTAATCTGGTGCTTGATAGCTCCGCCAGTGGTGGCCTTTCAGAGGGGAGTTTGTGTGACTGATGAGATATTTTTCCCTATTAGCAGATGCATTTGTCTTTCGCGCTAAGTAAACGGGAATCCTATTAGTTAATAGGGCCATAGTAGAGTCATTGCAAACTTGTGCTCGGTGAGAAAAGAAGCTAGTGTTTTGTATGACTCAAGGCATGTACCGATATAATCAAAACCATACTATTGTGACAAGAATTCTGATGAAATTCCCTCACTATTATCCGATTTCACACTGCGTTTGATAAGCTGGGATAGCCCAATAAAATTTCACGTGTTTTTTTCTTATTGTCGAAGCGAAGCCAGTGGTTAAGTGCTATGGGATATCGGAGGTTCGATGCTTGAGTTGAGAAGTGATAGGAAACTGCTAGCTGACTGAGTCGGGTTCATACAACGCGATAACTGCTTGAATCACCTATACACAGTATAACCCTCATTACACTTTGGTATATCCCAAAGCCTTCCTTCACCAATCATAGGCATCTTGGCCTTCGAAGATGTTTACTGCGGTTACTCTTATTTAATCCAACTTCAACTTTAAAAAGTTGGGTAAACCTGACTTACGCGTCGGCCTCTGAATTACGCGCCTTCTGTGCGGCATCAATCAGTGCACCTTCCAACTCTGCCACTGCTTCGGCGGATGTTTTTTCGTTCCGTAGTTGCGCCAGCAAGCGCGTCAAATTGCCAGGTGGCATGACTGATTTCAAATAACGGGTGACCGTATCCAAATTGGCGGTCAGTTCCTCCACGCTTGTTATCGTGGGTAAGTCTGTGCTTTTTTTCAACCTTCGGCGAGTTCTTGATAGTCCGGCCAACTGACTGAGTTCAGGATCTGCTTGCTTGTGACGTAAAAGCCTCTTCACACTGCTCCGCTGTTTTCCTAGTTTCTCTTGCTTGTGCGGACGTGCTATGGTAGGAGAAAAGAAATTCTCTCCTACTCTCCTGGGCAACATAAAATCCACTACGGATTCCGTGGGGGTAGATGATACATCTGAAGTTTGGTCGGAATCTGTATGTAGCGTTGCAATGGACAGTGTTGGACATTCCTGAATGTTTTCGACTAAGTGTTGAAGTCTGGTCACTTTGGCCTCGAGGGCCCGAAGTAATTTGATCGGTTTAAGTTTGATAAAACTTTGCTGGCGCTTTCTTTCAGGATCCACTTGAACAGATGATGCCTTACTAGCAGCGGTTTTCGCCTGTACTAGATTATCAAACCAATTCCACACACCCGATTTTTTCGACTCCTTGATCACAACGACCTCCTCCGGGCTAGTGGCCAGAAACTCCTCTTGCAGCTCTTCACGCCTCTCCCAAGGTGCAATTATTTTGACTGGAATCGACGATGAGCTCGGTTCCACACTGAATGCTGTTTGATCTAGTTGTTTGGTTTGAAAGGAACTTATACCACTCTCATCTTTGTCCGGAGGTTTGAATAGCTCTAGTTTATCCAGTTCCGTTACCTCTAATGATGAGGCAACGGTTACAGTCGGAGGAACAGTTGCGATTTCTGGTTCCTGTGCGTCCTCTCTGACGGGTAATTCCCATGGTAAATTCGGTGGTGAGATGGTTCCTGTTTTTTGTTGGGCCAGTAAGGGCCGACTTTGGCGTTGTGTTGTTTTTGGCTCTGGACTTCGAACTGTTGGAGATGTATGTCGGGCCAGATGAACAGGCAATTCTTTGTGGCGCTTGTAGACCGGCCTCCTTGGGACTTGCGGAGTTGACGGCTTAGAAGAGGACGGTGCGTCTCTGTCCGCTGAGACCAGTGCCAAAGACCCTGTGTGATACAACAATTGCATTTCCTGTCCTGATTTTAGGTGACTTTTTACGACTGAACGCGGCAACAGGGCTAAAACTTTTTGTTTGTCTTCCAGTATCGAACCGGTTATCGCACGTCCTCTTACTTGTGGCAGAGTTGGCGACTTCAGTGGAGGTAGAGGTGAGAGCGTTTCATCAGTCGCTGACATTTTCTCAAGTGCTGCTTGCCGACGGTGGGTGCTTGGCATTGTTTTCCTCCGTAGGCTCAGCGCGTTGGCAGCCTCGAATCCCTTACTAGTGATGGCAATTTTCCCTGTTTCGAATGCCATAATTCGAGCTCTGAAAGGGAAGGGGGAGATAGAAATGACGCAGCTTTTGCGCACCTTATCGCCAAAAGAAAATGCTAGGGGTTGCACAGTGAGAAGCACGCCATAGTTTTTGGCATTAAAGATGGAACGGCTAGAACGATCAAGTTGCAAAAAACAATTGATCATTTGAGAATACCAGTAGAAGCGCATTCTTTTAGCGGTCACCAGCTATCTTATTTGTCATTTGTCTGAACCAATAGTCATTCAGAACCTCAAGCATTCAAGAGATAACGCGTTTTGGGAATCAGACGTTTCACTGTCTTCTGAAAGGCTCGCGTCTTAAAAACAGACTCATAAAGTCCTATTTCACTACGTTCCATGGTCCTGTATTGGCGTTGCCCAAATGTATTAGACTCCAGGAATCTTCCGCAGTACCAACAAATAGCTTACGGATTAATTTCTTTACAAAGGGATAGTGCTTCAAAATCCTGTATATGCTTGCATTGCATATTTCGGGGGTAAATACTGTTTTAAACTACTGTTCACACCACCTACTATGAGATGCACCTCAGTTACTATTTGAATTATCCACGGGGGCGTTACCGGAGCCGGTCAAGAGACGCAAGAAGCAGAAACTGAAGTGAAGTTTCGAGGATGTTGTCAGCTCACAATCACGTTCTGACAGACTTCTGTAAAAAAAATGCACTCGGACCATTTAACAAGTATTGGTTTTTTATAGTGAGATGTCCGTCTTTTGTTTTTATTGATTAAAAATTTATCAAAATCATGAACAGGAGACTTCCTGTTTAGACAGATTTATCACAGCCTCAGTTATGTACACCATTTTCCATTAAATGACCGTGTCTTTACACTGAGTAAGTTGCTGGTGTTCTGGTCGGCGTCGTTGGTTGATGGAAATAGTGGGCTTTGCATTTTTTTACTTTCCACACTGAGGGCCGTCGGTTAAACCTGTTACGTCCCATAGGGGGAAATAGCTCCTTACATTAATTTTTCACAGTGTGATGATTTTTACTTACGATTGGGAGCCTATCTTAATGACGATATCATGTAGTTCTTTCAAACTTCTATGATTCCACCGCCTCTTGTTGACTACTACGCTATTTCATCCATATTCTTCATTAGATTTACTGTCCCCGACAAAGTCAGCCATAGTCTTGGAGGCTCCCCGTGCGTTTTCAACTGGAAGACGCTGCAAGCAACGTGACGATGTCATTCAACTGTGTTTTTATGCCTAGCTAAACAAAAGATAATCATGATTGATAAAAAATGCATCCAAAACAGGAATCCCTTCGTGAACGAAAGTCGGTAGTGACGTGAACAACGTAATACATTCTGGACCTTCGTTCATATCACGTTGTGGACGGATTTTATGGCTATTTGACTGAACGTCAGCCGAGTGTGGTTTACCCAGTGCTTACAGGCGTCCGGTGGCTCAACCAGTTGATCCGCTTCGGACGTCAACACTCCGAATCTTTGGTGGAAGGCACACTTTTAGCAGTTCCCACCAGTGAGAGAGATCAACGTGAGTCAGTGTTCTATACTGTGCTTGACGGGAATCATAAGCCACACTGAAAAACCCTAAAGTCCCATCTTCCATTTCGAATGTAACTAAAGCTGTATACAGTCTTTGAAACACGAGGTCATAATTTCATTCGTCATCCATTTTGAAACTCTCTGGACACGATGAACAAAATGGTAACAACTGGTGGCAAAAATACGTGAAAATCGATAGGCGAACGATTATTTTGCACACGGTGGAACAAAATCGATCAAAAACGGTCTTGACAATTTGGGCTTACCCATCCTCGTCGAATTCACTTCTTTCTGTATCCTCCTCCGCTTCCTCCTCTTGTGTCAGCTGAGCTAGCCCATCAGCCAATCTCGCGCTCAGTCGTACTAGTGGACATTCAGGGCCGAGTTGCTATGAGTCGATCGATAAGGATGATCAGACAAAAATGAACGGTGTGATGAGACAAGAACCCCATCACATTACATATCGATCGGTCTGGAGTCAAAAAACTTTCTACGGAGGCAGCTATCTGTCGTTATGGGACCGAAAGCTGTCGGTGGTTGGATTGTGTCAGCATACGCTTATACCACTCCCCATGTGATTTCTAAGACAAATATTCACACGAATTCTCAGTGATACATAATGAGACTATGGCCCTCTGGTTCGCCCTTGCTGAGAGCCGGTAACACTGCACCTACTCGGGTTCGAGCCAGAACCACTAGATACAGTAATGACACTCCTGGTCACCTCATAGTGCCACGACAGTGCAAGTGACCGTATGTACCGGTGGTATATATTGCAGGTTAGTTGCTTAGAAGAAATTGCCATTGTGAAAACTGGAAAGTGAAAATGTGAGAGAGCACTGCATAGGTGAATTAATGGGGGAAAGCAATTCATATTTGAACGAATCTGGATGTCCTTCATATTCAAGAATTATCTGCTGATTTAAAATCTCCCAGAGCTGCATGGGACATCTGCTGACCCACATTACAACAATAACAACTAGTTCCTCTGGTTAAAACTAGCTATATCTAATGTAATTTACAACCGCACCAATAATTTATTTTAACCTTTACTCCAAGCTATTCCATTTGGTTACTCTAATCAGGTGGCTCTTTGCAAAAATTGAAGTTACCCAAGCTTATTTAAAATTTCCTCAACGTAGTACTTCAGTAAATTTGAGCGCAGTAGAAAAATTCTGCCTACGTCTGGTGATTATTGGCAAAAGCATACGGCGCTTCCATCTTATGTGAACGAGTGCAATAATGTATGTCACGAAAAAAACGAACAAGAAATTTAGGATTTTATTAAACTAATCGTGAACAGTCGTTAAGTCTTCTCTAACAATTTCATTGAATTTTTGTTGCAGACCATAAAATAATGGTTCGAGTAGTTTTGGTTCGACAACCCGGTCTAATGACCTGAATATAATTCGATGGTTATTTTAACCTTTGTTTGTTTGTTTCCTTAACTTCAATACCACCCATCTACCGTTTTTCTCCTAAAACAACAGTCGTTCAAACGTAGGAGGCCTTTTGTGCACAGTGGACAAGGAAGGCTGAAAAAGCACGAAGAAGCAATAGGGTAAGTTTGCTCGGGCAGAGACAACAACAACTCAAGGTAGTGGTGTGAACTCATGAATTCCGGGTCATCGGCTGGTGTTTTCGCTGCTGAGTTATCTCGACCTCGGTACCAGCCCAGCTATCAGCAATCTGAGCATGATGGAGGATTTGGCCAGAACTTTCCAATGAGGAAAAGTCAGCTTCACTGCATCCGACAAGGGGGCTTATCTTCCTGGGCAAGATTAGTATCGGCATAACAAAGCAAATTTGTCTTTTTTTTAAGAATCTGTAGGCTTGCTTGGTGAGAAACGGTTCATCTCGATCTTGGGCTAGCGTTACCTTTATGTACACGTAAATGCGAGCCTCAGTACGCCTTTCAACAAAATGATACGGCCGCCCATTTTCACGGTATAAATCTAGTACGAACCTCCTCTCAGCTGTAACACCCTTCAGGTGTTACAGGTGTCAGCTGCCATGCTACCCGAAGGAAGCACGAGGGCTGGGCTATTGCCAGGTTGCCCAAGCCTAGACAGGAGAAGTCGGGAGACAGGTCGGGCTCGAGCCACGGACCTTCCGGTCAGTAAATTCGCGCTCCAACCACTTGATCCATCTCGCCCCAGTACGAACAGTAGGAGCGGAAATATTTCCAGTCACTAGGGGGCAAGTACCGATAAACACTGAATGAACTGAAACAAGACGAAAAACAAGTTGAAAATCGATGCGACGAAAGCATAAACTCACCCGAGATTAGGATTCCGTTGGAACAATTCCAGCTTGGAAATTCCGATTGCTGCAAGTTGAAACCTATGTAAAGATTCTGCGGCACTTTGGTGAATGCCCGGATGGATGTCCAGATGGATGATTATTCGTTCTGGTTTGACCGAAAGCAACAGTCTCGGTCTTGGAGCCGCGGAATCTCGCGACTTTATTATCCTGGCCTAGATGAGACTGGGTCAAGTCGCTTCACAAGGCGGGATGTAGGTCAGTGCTTTTCGCAGTGAGGGATTTTCTACCATTCTCATGTCTAGTTGGAAAATTTTGTTCCCTTAACATAGTCAAGTGGATGGCTGGATGTACTAAGCATTTCGGTATCCGACTTTCGGCGTAACAACCTGGAGGCTGTCTGATTTGCCGTTCGGTATACCGTGCAAAGTGAGATGAATTCCGATGCAGCACACCGAGGTCGGAATATTGTCTAGTGCCAGAAAACTTGAAAAGCGGCAATAGTTTAAGAGTGCGAGGAGTGAATAAATGAAGGGAATCTGAGTTGCCTCTAATTTTGAGGTGTTTTGCTTGAATCGATTTCTGTGACAATCGACACATCATCCACCACCACCAGAAATGACATCCATCATCATCATCATCACCACCACCGAAATGACATCCATCATCATCATCATCATCAACGACAGCATGACATCAGTGTTCAACACCGATGCTTCACTGCCGTACAAACATGACTTATTTGAAAGCCTTATTGTAAAGAAAAGAATAAAGGTGGATGGGGG